CATCATTAAGCTCCGCTCGTAAAAGTTTTAACACATGATCAGACAATCGTTTATATTTAGGAGTATTACCATGCTCAACAGGTAATTGAAGCAATCTATGAACTGTCAAACCGTCAATATTTAATGCTACTGTACCAGTAGGTGCTGCTACAGCAGTATCTTTCTTTAGATTTTGTTTTATCCAACATTTAATAGTTTTAATTAAATAACTTTTTCCAGTACCACCTTCTCCACTAATATATAATCGCAATATTGAATTATCTGACCCTACAGTGGTAACAACTGTATCGAATACTCTTTTTTGATCCATGTTTAATTTCGCTATTATTTCTGATACATCGATCTCTTGAATATTCTTATCACCGAGATCCTTAAAATCTTGCATCGCTTCACCAGCTTCTATATTTTGAATACCTATTGGATTGTCAGGATCATCCTGTGACTCATGTTTTTGTACTTCATCTAAATATTGCTGCACTAACTCTTTAGCAGTTTCAAATGCTTTTTGCAATTCTTCTAGTTTTTCATGATATTGTAATGCTTCCGTTAAATGTAGTTTTACCTTGTGAAATGATTCTGCATAAGCATCACATCCATTTCTAAGATCTTCTAATTCTCTCCACGATTTGAACAGAAGTAATAATGCAAAGAAATACTTCTCCGGTTGTATATTAACATTATATCTATAATGATTAATAAGATATCTACGCTGTCGTCGTCTAAGATAACCATTATTTATTTTATAGAATTTAATAAACTTATTTCGTGGTTTGATTTTTGTGATATCATACCATTTTGCAAACTCATAAAGAGACACATTCTAGTTTTTTTGGTCTCTGCGGATAGTGATTATCTATTAAAGATTCACAAAATATATCTGTCGATTGATCATCAAGTGCTTTAATCTCTTTACGAGTTTTTAATTTTCTACATCTTATTCGATTAACATTTAACCATCTAATAGTTGTATTTGGATCAGTTCCACATAAAGCAATACCCAGTAATGTATCAGCAGCTTCAAGAGCTCCACATTCTCTATTACTCGTGAATCGCAAAGCAATACTCCAAAGATAGCTTACCAACGATTTATTCGTATTATTTTTACTATTAATAATATTATCAGACAACTCACATTTTCCCGCTTTATTCATATATTTAGTAATGTACCAGGATGCAGTAAACAGTGACGACTTTTCGCCAATAAATTGTATATCCATATTTCCTTCCCATGCAGTAAGAAGAACAGGATTGTAATCATTTATATTACTTTCATCTTCAGTTCGCGGAAGATCATAAAGCCTGCTTCTATGTTTTAATTGCTTTCTACCTGCTATGGCAGTTGTGACATCTCTTATATTTAACGTCTCAGTGACAGGACGAGGAAATCCAAAACGACATCTCCAAACAACTTTACGTCCAACTTTTTTAGAACGGAGACAGTAATCATTATGTTTGTGTCGTTGATGAGTATTAACACGTTTGTACAATAATGGTGAAATATTTTGATCTGGCATTTTACAGCTTATATATTGTAAAATAAATTTGGAAACTTCTTCAATAGAAGATTCACCAATAATCGGAGCATTTTTTATCCAAATTAATAAATGAAAATGTTGTATGCCTCTACCTTGGTATTCTCGTCGCCAAAAATAATGAGTGACTTCTCCGATTGGATGATCTTTGGAACTAATAAAGTCAAGCATCGCACGAAACGTATTATCGAGAAATCTCGATGTTGACACAGGATCTCTAGCAACAAGTACACTGGTGCATATCGAAGAATCGCACCATTCATTTACTTCACAAATATATTCACCTAACTCTTCCCATAACCATTCAGCGGGACTTAATGTTAGAAACCATGTTGCAGGTCCGTAATGTTGTGTCATACAATTTAAATTATTTCGCGGTTTACTCCAAAATTGTTTCCGTATTCCTTAGTGTAGAAAATATTGTGCTTAAATCAGATTCTAACAATTCTTTGGACATTGCTTCTAAATATTCCGCAGCCGTATAACGAACTTGTGGATTAGTTACATTCATCTTATGATAAATTCCACGATTTAATTGACGCATATTTGTATTATTTAACAAAAAGAATAGATATTGTTGATTTAATCTATACTGTGGATGTTTAGACATCAAACGACATTTAATAAATTCATGATCATGAAGCTTAACCTGCCTAGTTTCGTACTGTCCATTCATACCATAAGGATATAAATCTGGAAAACACAACAAATCCAAACATTTTTCACGATTATCCAAAGGTAAATCTTGAATTTTTAACATTTGATATAAAGCCGTTGCAGTGTTATTCGTTCTTTTTTCATATAATGGATATATGGTATATTGCTCGTAATAACCATTATTTATAAGATTATTTAGATGTAAACGCCGCCTTTTTGCGCGATTTTCTTCCAAATTATTTTTATATTGACATCGTCTTAGATTCGAAATGTTTTCTACATTTTGTTTATATCGAAACTCTTCTTCACTTTTGTCTTCATTTTCGTTTTTATTAAAATTTTTTTTATATTTGCGATTTTTTTGCAATTGCTTTGTTTTTTGTAGCTCTGTCTCTTTTTGACGTTTTATACGTAGACGAGTTGCTTCAGCTTCTCTTGCTTTTATTACCGCTAATAGAAGCACCTTTTGAGGAACACCATAATTTGAATCCTGAGGAAAGTGCTCAATCACATTAGATTCAAAAAATTTTTATTAAATGCGAACGCATTAAACTGTGGTCATACTTAACTTTTTTCGGGTTTAAATATTAAAATGATAATGAAATCGCAAAAGCTATTGCAAAAACACCGCAATCGTTACAGTTTGGTTGACTTTGCACAGTAGGAAATTTGGCAGGCCGCTTATTAAAAGGATAAAATGGAAATAACCGTCTCAAAAATTGTTCATGATCTTTGTGCAACTTTTTCATATTTAATGAATCATAGATAAATACACTTTTTCTATCATAATAATCACATACTCAATGATTATTTGAGCTAAAGAATATCTGTATATGTTTCTTATTTTCTGGTACAGGTTCTATATACTGAGGAAGTTGTATTTTCCACGTTCCTTCTGGTCTATAATCTGAGTAATTTTTTAAAAGTTGGTTAAAATGATCCATATGCGTATCGTTTAACCAGTCGCCTTTGAGCAATAAATATATTTCTGATCTGACGACAAACGTCATCTGTTTTTCTATTTTTTGTAGTACATTTTTTATTTGATTAAAACAAATATATATTAAATA